AATATAATTTCATTCAAACCAACAAACTGATGCAATTCTCTGGGCAGATAGTGCAGGCCTGGGCAGCAGAGATAGCCTGCTCTCCACAGGCATGAGGTGGTTGCTCTAGAAAAGCTGCTGGGTGACTTTTAGCTATTAAAAGAGCAAATTCATGGTTTCCTTGTGGGCTAGTCACACTGCACAGTATTCTCTTTTTTTTTTTTCCCTATTTAAATTTAGATTTGTTAATCCCACTTCCTGGCAGTGGTTATAAGCAAAGTCTGACTGAAAATTTGGTAGGTGAGCTAATCTCATTTTTACTGTATCTCTCAAGCCACCCACTTTCCCTTCCTATGAGCCTACACCAAAAAGCCTTTGCAGGGGAGACTGAAGATACAGACCTTCCACTTCCCTCTATCCTCTCCTCCCATTTTTKGGGCTGCTCCCCAGTTTTCTCCTGCACATCTCCCTTTTTTGCTGCTTGCATCCCCTCCACATATGATGCATAGTTTCATACTGTCTTGCTTTTATACAGTAAACACAGTAGGCCTATAAAGGCTGTGTATAGTGTTAGCTCCTGCACTAGCCATTGGCTAAGGTTTTCAGCAGAAATTTTGCTCCAGYTCTGATGCTTCTGTGTTTCTCTCTCTGCCTTGCACAGTTGGCTGAAACAGACCTGGGATGTACCTCTGGTTTTGTGTCTGATGTAATGTGGGTGAGGGAGATTTCCAAATGTTTCAATGCCCCTTTTAAGAAAAAAGTTGTCMAAAGTTTCCCTGGCATTAGAAAAGATATATATCCTTCATGAGAAATGGAACTGCACTGGAATAAGGTATTAATGAAGCCTTAAACACAGTAAATTTGGAAGACCACCTTTTGTCTTRTAGGCTTTCATTGCACTCTGTACCTCTACTGATAGGGGACCAGGTATGTTTTCTGTCTCCCAACAAGCTTATTGCCCAAAAGTGTGTGTGTCTATCACTGGCAAAGAAAACAGCCTTTTTRACTGAAATCATAAGCAATCGAATGAGGATTTCTGCCTCCTTGGTTCCCAGTGTGTCACGTTCCTGAGTGYGGATGTCCGTTATTAGTGATTACGGACCTTGGCCTTCTCACAATTACTGTGGCTGCGGCTCTGTGACCAGGCAACTGCAGTGAGATATGATCACTGAGCATGGTCCCGTCGTCTCTGCGGCCTATGTGGTCTCCTCGAAATGTTGAATAAACACAGTGTCCCACCACAGTTGATTTTTCCCTGCAATATATTATCTTTAATAAAGCTGAAGCCATGCAATTTGCCTCTTGCCCTCCCACTGCATTTTTATGTTCTGAGAACAAAAATTCAACCTGTTTTTTTTTTTTTTGTCTTCTTTTTCTTTTCAGTTGATGGAGACAATATATGTGTTTTTAATGTACTCTTCATCCTGGTATCCAGCTGCAGAGAGCAATCCGGCGTGCGAGCCCGGAAGATGTGTTTATGTGTCTGGCCATCTCTGGAATGCAGAGCGGCCAAAGGACAGGCTGGGAAAGACAGGCGTGACAGTGCTGACTTGCTAACCCAGACARCCCAACCATTGCTCACAGAGAAGGAAAACACAGCTCCTCTGTGGCACTGAGGAGCTTCTGCCTGCATGGAGAGCGTGGTGTGGAAGGATGCTCAGGACCTCCACCAAATGYGAGAGGAGAGTCAGATGCAGAGATGTTTTGAGGCACTGGGACGGGAGGATCCATCCTTGAGGTTGGTCTCCTCTAGGGGTGTCAAAGCCAAGGGGACCTGGGTCAAGATGGGTCCAACTTGCATCTTCTGGAGCTTGTTCCAGACTCAGGCATTGCCAGATGAGGAGAAACTTGCATTTGTGCAGGATTTGCTGTGTGTGTGCAGAGGGCCCGCTAGAAAACTGTTGTGCCTAAAATGATCACACATGTCCTTCATGACAGAGAAGGAGCGCTCTAAGTGAGAGCATGTGTGCTCTGACTCTTGGGCTGAGAAAATGTCAGGCTCATGCACTTGGGAAGTTCATAGTGATACAAACAGGGAGGCTCCCTGCTGCCCACAGATTTCCCACATAAAAGTCCTACTGGTAGCCGTGGGAACTCGGCCGCAGCCACGCTGTGGCTAAAGTCACCACTCGAAAAATGTAGTGAAATTAGTGTTCATAAAAGTGAAAAACATGCCACAAGAATGAAGACGTCCTGATTCGCAGCCATGAAAATTACAGGAGTTCTGGCAGAGAAGACAAAAAAAGCTAAATTTTGCAGTTGCTCTGGCTTTGGGAAGGGATTGCTGGTCAATTGGAAAGGATTCTTTGAGAGAAACCCTTTGACGTTTCGGACGTCAAGTTGTTGTATCAAAATATGATGCGCCAGGGTTTGCACAAGAGGTAGCAGTGGCCCCAGAGCCCGTGGCAAGGGTGGCCGCTGTGCTGCACAGTGGCCCCCAGCGAAGCTGGGGAGTTTGCTCCACGGTCTGCGAAACCATTTCTAGCAGATGCTTTGTCACTGATTTCAGTTCTGCCTTTCAACCTCACCCGAGGCAAACCATGCCACCCCTTCATATCCACAAGGCAAATAAAAGACCATGGGAGATGACGAGGCACCAACAGGCTTATTCTGAGGCAAAGTGGACACGAACCTGGGACTCAGCAGAAAAATTAATATTAGCAAGGAGGCTACTCTTCTACTGGTATAATTTAGCTCTGTTTTCAGGTTGAAGTTTCCTTTTCTGACATTTTCTGCTATGCCTGCCTGAACTACAGGGGCCAGCTGTCATTCCTCCTTCCAGAAGATGGATTTGTGGGTTGTGTCCCTGCTCTCCTTACATGGGCCCATGTCCTCAGATCGCTCCTGCTGTCCCTCACAGACTTATTTGCAGCTCCCGCATGGGTCTGAACATCAGCACTTCAGCTAAAGCCTTAGGTGAGGCTCCCTACCTGTCCCAATCAACTCCATTTTCCTCGATTTTCACTAAGAGAAGCTACCAGGGGTTCAGCAGTGTCCTCCTTGTGCTCTTCCTGCTGTTTCCTCGGCCACCACCCTTGCCCATGGAGTTGGCCTACAGAGACACCCGACCCTCGGCTCCGGCGCGGTGGGCAGAACCACTGTCCTCTCCCCACCCCCGCAGCAGCCGGGGCTTATGACAGCAACGATCTGAAAAATAAAGCAGGAAATGACTTCAGTAAGGGATGTGGTGGCTGACRGAGAAACGTGGAGTGGGTCTGCAGCACGGCCACGCTCTCCTGTGAGCGCGGAGGCCCTGCAGAAGCGCSGTGGGGCGACACTGGGCAGCCTGCCCTGTGGTGGGAGGGCCTGGGCGAGTCGGGGTCGCTGTCCCTCCTGGCCTGTGGCAGCAGTTGTCCTCGYGAGCCAGCTCTGAGGTGGTCACTTGCTGTTTCATTGGGACTGCAGGACCCCGGGGTGGTGTTGAACCTGCACTTGGAACAATCCCCTAATGTCAACGTCCCAAGTACTTCATCCCGTTGACTGCTCTGCCAGCAGGGATGTGTGCTCTCTGACACTSTTTTAGTCTCCTGTCTGGGCTAAACACCTAGCACTTTTCCTGAAACAAGCCTTGAACTGCTCTGCTGTATCTCCTTGAATTACTGAGGTTGAACTACACGTCCTACACATTGACAAGAGATCTTTATTCCCTTTGTTTTCCCAGGGGAGAACAACTGGAAGGAAGAGCAGGAATGGGCGTGTGCTGCCCCGGGAAGGCGGATGGTCCCGGCATCCCTCCGGCAGGAGGATGCGCCGCAGTGCCAGAGTGCTGATGGATTCCTTGGACCTGGGAAATGCACTTTCAGTTTGCTTCCACCAGCTTTGTGTTTACAGCGGATATTTATTTCTCCCTCCGCTTGGGCTAAGCAATTTTTTTTTTTCATAGTATTCAAATGCTTGGAATGGAGATTCAAATCCTTCTCTGTCTTCAAGCACAAACACGCCATATCTGGGTCAGGAAGTCCCTGACCTGCAAAYCACCAGAGGTTAAAGAGTATAGCAGGGTATTTTCATTATATGCTTGCCCTAGTCTTGTACTCTTCCCTAGGCATCTGCTATTGCCAACACTAGAGAGAGGATATTGGGCTAGAGGGACCTTTGATTTGACCTCCTATGGACGTTTTTATGGTCTTTTGTCTTTATCTGGGGCCTCTGGAGGCTAATAAAGATTTTGTAAATATAAAGAATTCATTGTGATCCAAGAAGAAGTCATAAGCATAGGAGGGGTCTTTCAGCCTTGTGTTCCCTAGGAGCAAAGGTCTGATAAGAGAAGTCTGGCAAGTGCTGATGAAACAACATCCAAAGTCTATCAGTTGCTAGACAGATGGTCCTTAGTGTCTAATGAAAACAACTGTTTCTGGACACATTTTAATATACACTTCTTTGTACAATGTAGGATTTAATAATTTCATAGCGTATGTGATTTATTAGTTAGGTTTGTTTCTAGCACTAACTCATGGCTTCGTGGGAGACAGCAGATCTACCTATCTTCTGATGATTCTTAGTTGTTTTTTTCTTTCAAAAGAGAAGCAGGTTCCTTCTGAGGTCCCATTTCCTGGTGCCAAATTCCGAAGGTCTGTTTGAGGGGTGGGTACCAGTGCTTGCCATTCATGTTATCTAAGTGGAGCGACTCTGGTATCACCACATAGTGCACTCAACGTTGTGCTCGCATGAAGCCCATGGTAATTTGCACTGCTGCTGCAGACAAGTGCTCAGAGATCTCCAGTGTACCAGGAAATGCCAAGGGGTTTTGAGACAGCAGAAAGTCATCTGCTGAGACTCCTTTTAGCCTTGCTTTCGCTTAGCCTTGCTTTCTCTTCTGTCTGCCTCTCCTCTCTGCTCGATCAAAGGGAGCACTTTCTCTCAGGCAATCTTTCTTTGCTTTCTCTGAGCCTGGAAAAGTCTCTTCCAGGATTAAACACATAAGAAGTGCTCTTCTTCACACATTGCTGTAGCTCCTTAAAAGACACCCATTTCTTTCAATTCCGCTGTCTCAAGCAAGTGTTTTTGCATTAGCAGTTGTGGAGAAGACGCTATTTTTGAAGTCAGCCTCTACATTCGGGTTTTGCCTGCTCCCCAAATAGTCCTGAGGATTTGGATTTCTGTGTACCAAACCCTGCCACCGCCTGCCCCCAAAAAGGTTGGAGCACTGGGTGTGTCGCCAGAGCATGTGACAGGCATGGAAAACTGAGCCAAATTTAAGCATAGCTACACTGGGAAGGGAAAAAAGGTTTTGCATCTTTGTATTTTCCCATGTTCTGTATAGCTTAAAAAAATTAAGATTTTTCATCAGAGTGAGCAGATGATGTGGTCTTATTTGAAAACTTGAGCACTGACACATCACAACTTGCAAAGAGATGAGGAGCTGTTTGATGTTATTGAAGTGTCAATACAATGTACAGGCTAGAAAAAACAAACAAACAGATACTTTATGCTTAAAAATACTCTCCTCTTATAGGGACAATTAAAGTGGACAGTTGGAATTCTGCTAAGACAAAAAAACCCGAAAACAACAAATGAAAAACCAAAYGAAAAAAACCCAACCCCAGAAGTAAACCTGCAACACCTTGTGGAGAGGGTCAGCCTTTTATAGCAAGTTAGAAGCATCCAAAGATAGGTGAGTGCCTTTGAAGCCACCCTGGATGTCTGTGTGTGCATCTAACCTGCCTTATCTGTGGGGATCCTGGTTACTCATTCTGAGAGGCAACCACGGTCCAGATCACTGAAGTCAACAGAAAAACTCGTAGTGATTTCAGTAAGTTTAGGTTTTAGGTTAGGTTAGTTTTTAGGTTAGGTCATGTGCTTTGATTGCTGAAGTTAAGTCTTGGCAGTGCACTTTAGTCTTAGTGGTCGCGACAGCTGCTACAGCTGTTTCAGAGTCACAGCAAGAAGATGCATTTCTAAAGTTTCATATTTCTGACACTCTTATTAGTGGGAGCTGGCCCTCTTCTGCACCCCCTCAACAGCAACTGAAATCTTTCATTTTGGCTGACAGACCTGAAAACATCAACATGTGAGCTTTTTTTGGTCATATAAGCAAGAAGGCTGCCTTCCTCACCCAGTGGCAAAGCAAGAAAGGTTAAGGAGGGATTAAGAGCATCCCTCAGCAAACGCCAAAGCCTTAAACATGCACGGGGCCCTAGTGCAAAGAGCATCGGTCGTGCAGAAGGGGCTGCAAGGCAGCGGAGGGGAAACCAGCCCTTGGAAGCGTGCGGCTATGGGGACAGCTGTGGGGCGCCCGTGCCTGCCGCCCCCGAGCCCTGCGGGGGGCTATATTTTACCAGCGGGTTCGCTGGCGGCTGACAAGCACAGACACGCTTTGGTGGCATCTAGAGCATTTTGCTGAGCRCTTCGGTAGTGCGCTACTGGCCGGACAGCGCATGTCCAGATTTAGATTATAAGAGGAAAACAGCAAGTGGTAGGTTCAAGTGCAGGTCAGAGGATATGTTATACCCCGGTCCCTCCACCGAGCACTTGTGGTCCTTCGGGACCGGCGCTGTGAGCTGCCCTTGGTGGGGATRGTCTGAGGTGTTTGCTTTTACGATCAGTGGTGCCATTCACACTAGGAGAATGCTGTTTTACATTGTAAACGTAATTTTTAATATCACGGAATCCTTTCAGATGGCATTTCGGCTTCACATGAGAGCAGACCGTGTTTGTTTTCTCCTCTCCTCTGAAGCTGGAAGGCAGCATTTTAGCAGGAGGAGCCTGGGYGGAAAAGCAGGCTACTGAGGTGATAGGATATCCCAAATCTGATATAGGCTTATTTTTAAGTAGACACTATTACCAATGAGTCCTGTTTGGAGGAAAGAAACAAAGCAATGGGAAGCTGTACCCTGTGCYAGGCAAAACAAAACTGTTGGTTCTGATGGCTGCACGATGGATACACACAAGAACCTGATGTCCTCGCTGCATGGCACTTTCCTGCAGGACAAACACAGGGTGTTTAAACACCATCCCTCTAGTAAAATACGGATTGGCAGAGAGCATAGACCAACCTACGGACCCAGCTTGTACCCAGCACCTGTCAGGCAGCAGGAGAGCATGTCCTGGTGACCTGCAGAGGGAAGGAGATCCTGGTAATGTTTAATTCCAGGCTTGGCTTGGAGTACTGCAAGATTTTTAGATTAAATTCTGTTCAACCCCAGGCTGCCTTACATGCTACAATATCATCTTCTAGCACAGACCTGGGGCTGCATGATCCTCCTATTCCCCCTTCCCCGTGTACATCTGGATTGCTGGATGAGCAGCAGTTGCAATATCAGAAGCGAAACCTGCTTCCCCGTGGGTCGTCCTAAGAAATGAAGTGCTCCTTGCCGCCGGCGCCGCGTTAAACCGCTTGTGAAACGGCCGCGTGGGCCCCGTTTGCTGAGTAAGATCCAGCCCCAGGAGCAGTTAGTCACCAAGAGCCTGCCCGAGGGTGCAACTTGCTGCTCTCCCGGGTTCGTTATCGAATGAGCTTTTTAATGTCAAGTTATGAGCCCTCGAGCTTCCCAGTGTGTGTGTTATTGAATAAGTTTTGCATCCCAACCTGACGCAATTCCCAGCTCTCTCTAGATCTCAGAGGCAACAGGCTAACAAACAATAAAAAATTGACTCTAAATAGTTAGGAGTGTGAATGCCTTTCAGACAGGATTTTATCTTCTTATGTGTTTGCAAATCGTTCTTCATCCTGTGTYATTAGGGAGGCCCCTTAATGTGCAGCCTTCCTCCCAATGTGCAAGGTTTGCTTGTAGAAATACATCTCCTATCTTTAAGAGAGCTCCRAATTATGAAGTGGCAAAAAATTTGTCATAAAATAGGTACAAATGATATTTACAGCAACTGCTAAATAACTTAAATTACATATTTTAACTGCAATAAACAAGTATTAGTATTCAATTTTCTTAAATACTACTTATTATGATGTGCTTTACATTTGATTCTGTTACTAGTTAGTATTCTACTTTCAGTGAAAATTCTTCAAATGTAAAAACATGACTGAAGTGCAGTAAGCTGCAAGCAAAACAACCACATTTGAAAGCATGCAAAAAGTACTTGGGCAAATTGTTATCTTTACAGTGGTATCTTTGCTCCATATATTTATACAAATACACAGAAAGATATTACATATTAATTACACAGGAAAATCTTACTCATTTCTGTAGAAAAACTGTATAGAGATTTTACACGTGGTTCAGCTCTGGAACAAGGTGATATTTGTGTGTCTGTGCTGTTTTCAAGATGCAGTTTATCTAACGCTGGAAAAGGGTATGGTTTGGCTGACTAAACTCTGGAGTGATGCTGAATGATAAAAGCGCTGAGGGGAATTTTTGGGTYGCTTGAAAGGCAGCATAAAAGTTTAAAAAAGTAGGTGTAAAAAACCCCCAAAGACTTTTTTTGGTAGTTGTATAAAAGCTCAGTGACATTTTCTGACACAGAGCAGCACCCCCTCCCACCACACTCCGAATACCTTTGACTCCCCTTGCACAACGTGGCTGCCTTAAAAATGCAAGCTTGCTCGCATGCAGGTGTTACTTTGGCACTTGGGCTCCTCTCGCCTCTCCCTGAGAGTTTGGCTGGACATTTTGGGGCCCCGACTCCAGCATGAGTGGGCACAAGTGATGAGATGGGCAGGCACTCAAAACCAGCAGCTCTTCTGGGCTGTGTAACACCATTAGCTGGAAAAGGCTAGGCAAAGCAGACGTGGGGCAGCTGAGGAAAACTCTGTCCCAGTTTCAAATCTTCACTAGTGACAGCTCTACCCGGGTCCCCATGAGGTGACTTTCCCTGCCCCAGGCCAAGAGCTGGCTCCTGGCACTGCAGGAACATGCTCAGCTGGGCAGTTTCTGGGAAGAGACTTGCCAAAGATAGACAGCCTGGACCAAGAAAGTCCCAGGTCAGTAGCATGGTGTGGGAAACGGTTCAGCGGGCTGATGGGGATGCTTGTGAGAGCAGCTTTCTGCAAGACAGGTCTGCATCAGGAGAAGCACATTTGTCACAATGATGGTGGATAGGTCTGGATACACCTGGATGGTAAGGGACAGCCGTCTCCATTCCTTGGTCCTACAAGGAGCTCTCTCTTCTTGGTAACTGCCTTTGAAAGAGGAAAGAGGAACTGTGAAATATGTTGATATGGTCGCTAATGCAGAGATTTGAGCTTGCTTTCAGATCTGTGATTGCCTGCAGCCCAGCCTACCCTAGCTGCATGTCAGAGGACTCCAAGAAGTGTGGTCATGCTTTGGCTTCCCAGTTTGGTCTGCCTACCTGGGCATAGAATATTTAAGGTTGGAAGGGACCTCTACAGATCATCTAGTCCAATGCAGCAGCATTGCAGCATTGGCATGCAGCAGCTCAGGCCTGCTCTCAAACAAGCAACAMAGCAAGCCTGCTCACACACAGCAAGCCTGCTCTGGGCAGGATTCATCCCATCCAATCTGTGTGCCCTATGTGTCCAGAGAAGGACCTGTTCTTGGAAGTATGAAGTCTTGGAAAGTCTGAATCCTCAAGCTATCCTCTGCMCGAGCCATTTGCTTTTGCCAAGAGAGGAGACTTGGTGTGTGGGGGGCTCTCTAATCTTATTTCCCCAAAGTTGCCTGGGAAGAAATGCCTGCTTTGATCCCAAGTACAGCCCCCTGCAGCTGTGGAGACAGAAAGGTGGTAGCGGTAGGTTTTGCGTGTCACATATGTGAACCTTCAAATCTGCTCCTCATCTTGCAATGTGGCCTCAGCTCATGAGATTTCAGCTGTCTCCTATCTCTAGCTATCACTGTTTCAGGACCTTTCTTCAGGGGGAACAGATGAATCTTGGTGCTTACCAGGCTGAGGAGCGCAYGGGAACCTTTTCCTCTTTGGTACAAGCCTTGAAATCTGATGTTGGATCTTCATTTCAGTAAAGACATTACTGTTGTTRCTCTTTGAGAAGTCTAAGGTCCGTCTGGATGATTATCCCCCCARAGTTTGGCTGTTTTCCCTTGCAGTCCCAGCCCTGACTGCATGTCTATTGGAAAAGTAGCTGGGTTGTAGCACAGCCTTCTGACCCAAGAAGCTTGAAAAGTCAGCAGTCCCCTTTCCATCTCCCAAGCTCCTAGAAAGTGCTATGGAAAACAACAACAAAAAAAGAGAATAAATATTGCTGAGTTTCATCATTTCTTTAGCAAAGCTTATAATTTAGRGAACCTGATTTGTGAATTTTGAAAGATTGAGAATGGTATTATTACAAGTTCAAGGAAAACTATATGCATCRCAAAGTCAGACAAGGAGGTCTTAAGTGTCAGCCAAAATTAARAACTTTTAGACAGGAGTAGACAGCAAGGAGGAATTCCTGGAGCTGAATTTTGGTTTCCTAACATGGCAGCCCCTCCTGCTAATTGAGCTCATAATTTGTTCTGAAATCAAAYAAACCACCCAAGATGCAGCAGGAGTGGGTGGCAAAACCCTCAGATATTGATTTTCAGACTGCCAGTCTTTAAAGTAGAAACATTTCTTTCATGTCACCAAGCACTGTATCACAGCCCACGGTGGCTTTACAAGGTATTTTGGTGCATCATCACAGCAAAGACAATGAAACATCCTGTGAAGTCACCGCATTAGCAAAACACCACCAGACACAGTTACGAAAAACACAGTTCTCTGTTCCTTTTTTTTTTTTCACACAGACATTTGCTTAGAAATGCAGATATTGGATCTAAAGTCACTTTTGAGATTTGACTTCTTTTTGAGACTCAAATGATTTAAAGCTCCAGTTGTCTCCCTCAAACTCTGTTGAAGCTTGATGTGGGAGAACGTAGGCTTCTCCTACTGCTTTCAGTCACTGTCTGACATATTCTGAATGTGCCTTGATGTGTCTGCTGCTTTTAGTGCTACTGGCTATACTAAGGACCCAGTGTTTTCCTTCCTATTGACACAAATGATTCTCATTTCAGGAGAGAAGTATTGCTGTATTTATTAGGATGATTACATGGTAGGTCCCCGTAGCTACCTCCAGAGACCAGGATGAGGTTTCCTGGTCTCTCATTAAGTTACTGGCTTAGTCACTTGGTTTTCCTACATCTTTATATTGCTGTAGATTAGGGCRTCTTGAGCACTAAGGATTGTATTAACAGACTTTTACACTGTGAGCAGAAGGCTTACTCCTGCAGTTGCTGCTATGAAATCCATGGAAAACTTATTTATTTTCCTAACTTTAGTGTCTATCTTCATCTTTGAGACATGGCACTGTTTGTACCATTACCACTGTAAAAAGTACCATTTGCACTTTGCATGGAGCTGCAAACTTAGGAACAGGACTTGGAATTAGGATCCTGTGGACTGAAAAATGAGATAAAATTTTTGCAAGTGCAGAGTGTGAGTTGCATTGTGATTACTCTGGGCTGCAAAAAGACTTTCTGCCAACACACAAATTCCCCTGTACTTTCAGGTACATGTAGCACTCTTCGTTAATCCTTGTCCTATGYCCATGCCTGGCCTTGCTATATTTAAAGCTTATTGCATCTCCCTAAAAGCTGGCTGAACTCTGTTGATGTGTGAAATGATTCCCTTTATGTATCCTAAGTTTATGACTGCAACAACATTGCTTTAATATCTTTTGGGATGGTTAATGCTCTATGAAGAGTGGGATTTCCCAGCAGTTCAGGGCAGGTATTGACCAGAGCTTTGCTCACTCATGTAGGCCTTTGCTGGGGTATCAGTATGAAAACAGGAAACGACGTGGGAAATGTTAATAAAACTTGACAACAACAGCTCAAGAGGTGTTTGATCCACCATTTAAGTGTACAGAACTATTACAGGATGAGGAAACAGGAAATATGCTGAGGGGGAGGAGATGAGAACAGAGAACCGTAAAAAGAATAAAAAGACTGAACTTGAAAAATTCCAAGTTACCCTTTCTGAAGGCAGCTAGCCTGCAGTGGGCATTGCTCACAGCACACCGTTCCTCACTTAGGTGTTACGCATGTAAACCGCAAGGAGCTGGAATTGAGACCCATCACTAATAAATTCCATCTTGGCTCCAAATATGAGATCCGGTTAAAGTCGAAAGGGAAAAGCCCTCGTGAAAAAGAAAAAAAAAAAAAGTTATTTCTAGGAGAGAGTTTTAAAATTTTCAAGAACAGATCAACTCTCTGTGGTTCACAGTTCTTCCGAATCTGCATTTGCTCAGAGCCAAGAATAAGTGAAATTCCATAGTGCTACTTCTTCTATTCAAAAAGAATATTATCATTTCACAATCACTTTCTATCTTTATTTCTCCTTGCTCTGCCAAACCCCACCCCACATTCTTTCATAAGTAACTGAGTCAGAAAAAAATCCCCTCTTTTTCCTCATGTATTTTAATGCAATGCGTTCTTTGCATTCTTATCATTGAGGTTTGCATAATTAGTTCTCTAGTAATCAATTCTGAATGAAGCATAACAAATTTGTTAATTTTAAAGAATCGCTCAGAGACAAAAAAAAAAAAAATGTTCATTTGGAAATAATAACTGCAAAACACCTGACATGACATCTTTTATTAATAGCATTCAAAGCATTTTAAACACTCGAAGTTGTGATTTACAGTTTGTAAATCACAGACAAGGAAACTGGACTCCAGTGTTGAGGATGTTCAATAAAGAACACAGAGTAAACTAACTGTGGAGTTCAAACCTGCTGAACTCCAGCCTCATTCCTTCTTCACCAGATGATACCATTTACCATRAAAAAATACTGAAATAAATCATTTTCCAAAATGCAGGACACTCATTATCTTCCCTTTAATATTTTTCAGACCTTTAAAAATAGGGAGCAGTAAGTCAACACTTTCTTCTAAAAATGAGTCTATACAAATCACCAAAGCTTAGGGTATCCAAGGCAGGGGGCAGAAAAAGAGAGGCCTGTGTGTTGGGAGGGCGTAGAAAAAGGGTCTGTGCCAAGGGCCAACAAACTACTGAAAATAAAGATTGTCTTGGCCTTCTTCAAGCCATGGGGAAGCAAGGGAGGTGTCTAAGTGTCTTCTGGTATTTGGAGACTTGTGTAGGATTCATCTGCCCTAGCTTTGCKGTCCTTCTCACTGATGAATACACAGCTAAGAGAAGTCAACTATATTGATCCGTAGAGATSTATCATCTTTTCAACACCAACTATAAAGGGTAGCAAGATCAGATTTCAATGTCTAGCTTCAGAATTTCTTGTTCTTTACTATTAGCAGTTTAAAATATTTTCCTCTGCCTTTTGCTACTTTGGTACTTTGGGCACATAGGAGAGCTCTGGCACAATTTGTCTGACTATAATCTTAGACCTAGATGGCTGCTACTTTAGAAAAGTAAGTAGGAGGATGTGGTGGTCTTGGGATGGAAGACTCTGGTGGTGGCATGGTAGGCATAAGATACCTGACTAGTGAGAGTCATTCCTCCTATCTGTGACCTTGGTTGTTCTTTTTTTCCTTCCTACAGATCTGCAACAGCCACATTCTGCCTGGAGCTTCCCGGCTCCTGACTCTGAGTGGGGAGAAGGTTTGGCTTCTGCTGCTGCCTTTCCTCAYATGTTGGCACCTGGCAGCTCAAACAAGACTTGTGACCATTCGTCYTGGGCAGGACTGCTTGCATGTTTCCTTCCACATGCTTTTAACCTTTATCTCTATGGGAAGTGAGTGATATGTGGCCTTGTTCAAGCAGCTGACCTTACAAACAGTGTGTGCTGTGCTGTGTCGTTTCATGGAGCCAACTGCTTCTGGTGGCAGCATGCTGTTTATTGACATAGCTATGAGGGCTGCTACATAAAAATATAACCAAGCCATACACTGAACTACTTCCTAAATGCTATGAGTTTTTATTTTTTTTAGTATGTATATTGTTAGTATATATATAATTTCAGTGGAGGCTGGGAGAAATGCAGTGTTATAACCCTTACTAGCTATATTTCAGTAAGCACAAGCTTATTCCATCAAGTGGGAATGTGAAGTGTGCATATCCATATGCACATACATGTGATTGTACCTGTTCCTAATCTGATGAAGACTTCTCTTGTTTGAAGTGAAGCAAATTGTTTTCTATATTTAAAAGCAAAGATGCTCCTGTCCCTCTTCTGTCTATGATATCATTGCCTGATAAGGCAGTTCTAAGAGTCTTATCCTAAGAACTTCCTGCAAAGTACTTTCATGCCCTCTTATGAYAGACAAAATTACAAATTGCCAAATCTATTCATAATTGGGGTGAAATATAATAAAAGATAGGAAGGAAAATACACATAGGGCTATGGAACAGGCTTTTTATAAAGGATTGTCTGTCTATTATACATCTAACACCAGAGCCGAAGAGCCCTGGGCAAGGACAGTATCAGAGCCCTTTGTGCCAGAGCCCTCGTATGGGCTGGCAGCCTCCTCAGGAGGTTGGTAACCTCCTCAGGAGCAGCCTCCTCAGGCTCAGGAGTGCTGTGTGCTGCTTTGCGTGTTGACGAGAAGACCTGACTATCTGAGATTAATGAATAAAAAATCAGCTCTCTGTGCCTTAGCAATGAGCCCATGGAGCCTCTTAGCAGCTTTACCTCCTTTAGGCRGATCTGGTGCCTCTTGAGCTTAGGTCTTGAACTTTCTCTGTGATACCAACAGATGGGCAAATAGGGGGATATAGCCTTCTGGCTTCAGTCATTTAAAGTGCTGGCAAAGTCTCTTGTAAGGAAACTTTATGGCTATAGGGATGAGAAGTTGCTCAGAGTCACATAAGTGCACCTAAAGAAAAACAGGCACTAGATAGCCCAGAAGAAGATGGGGCTCAAGAACTGCTCAGCGTGGGGCACTGCTTGGAAACAACCAACTTTCTTTGGAAAGAAGGAAATATTTCTGAGATGCAGTTTCACTACCAAACCTTCTCAGGAACTCCAGGAGATTCCTGTGTTGCCACATGTCCTTCCGAACCATATATTTTAACCAGAGGAGCCATAAGTGAACCGCACAGTGGCCCTAGCCTTTATAAACAAACACAAATGTTATGAGCCATTTCTTGTAACAGAGTTCCAGGAACTTGAGCACCCCAAAACCACAGAAAATACTTGGTAAACAGGAGGCAAACATGAGGCCCTGGGAGGCGCATCCAAGGTCTTCATCTCCAAGATGCTGTGAGAGGCCCCATAGATCCCGTGGCCAACAGCTGCCTGGAGATAGGAAAGAAAACCCTGGTGACAGCCCTCTGGAGGCATTATGTTACAGACCGACACAGAAATGCCACTGAGGTGAGTATTAGACCTCATTCCACTCAGCAAAAAATCCCAGCTGTTGGCACTTCTGGAAAATGACAAATGACTGTTACAAGCAACGGAGAATGTTTTGGAACAACAGTGAAGATGATGTTATTGGAGAGACACAATAAAGGAATTTCCTGGGTGCTTATTCAGGCAAACTATTAACATTTTACTAGTTAAGAGCTGTAGATGTCTTTTCCAAAGTTGCCTTTGAGTGTTTTGCTGGAGTAAAGCACTATTTAAAACGGTTATGGATTTTTTTTTCTTTCTGTATTACAAGTAATTTGCATATCTGAATAAGGAGTGCAGGTCTTGGGATCRAGTTGCTGAAATGTCATCAATATATGTGTAAAACTTTTAGATTGGCAAAGCAGGCAAGTGACTGAGAAGGTTCCTTGCCTTGGTGTTGTGCCTGAGGACACTACAACAYGTGGCACAAATCCTGCTGAAGACTAAGCAATCCTGCAAGAGAAAGGCATTTTTGAACACTTTCCAGAGAATATACATTCAGTTTGCCTCACCAGGGCTGCATCAGGCCATTTCAGACATTGCATCTCTCCCAAACCAGGGATGAGACATGGTCATTAAAGTTCAGTAATTTTTCCATTGAGGTGGAACCCAGCTGGTATATCCTGGTCTGCCCCTGACCATTTTTTTTTCCTTTTTTTTTTTTTTTTTAATTTTTAATGCCAGTAAGTAAAAAGTCAATGTAAAAAGCGTTTTATTTTACAGGTACACTGTGCCATATCCTGCAAGCAGACATGCATGTACATGGTCAATGCTGTCATGTCACATAAAACCACCAGTAGTTTCACCCATTTGGTGTTTGGGGCATTCAACTCCACAAGACAACTTTAGGGCGACTAGCGTCTCCAGCAGGTTGAGGGAAGTGATCATCCCCCTCTACTCAGCCCTGGTGAGGTCACATCTGGAGTACTGCGTCCAGTTCTGGGCTCCGCAGTTCAAGAGGGATGTGGAGCTGCTGGAGAGAGTCCAGCGCAGGGCTACCAGGATGATCAGAGGCCTGGAACATCTGCCCTATGAGCAAAGGCTGAGAGAGCTGGGCCTGTTCAGCCTGGAGAAGAGGAGGCTGAGGGGGGACCTGATCAGCGTGTATAAATACCTCAAGGGAGGCAGTGAGGAGGAGGGGGGCGGCCTCTTTTCAGTGGTGGCCAGTGATAGGACTAGAGGAAATGGCTTCAAACTGAAGCATCGGAAGTTCCACAGGAACTTAAGGAAACATTTCTTCACTGTGAGGGTGACAAAGCACTGGAACAGGCTGCCCAGAGAGGTTGTGGAGTCTCCTTCTTTGGAGATCTTTAAAACCCGCTTGGATGCAGCCCTGTGCCCCGTGCTCTAGGTGACCCTGCATGAGCAGGGGSGTTGGACTCGATGACCTCTGAGGTCCCTTCCAACCTTCGGCATTCTATGATTCTATGATCTGCCTAATACTGGCATGCAAGTTAGGCTTTCAAAGTGGGAACAAAAGCTCCATTTTGCTGTAACCAGTTCAGGACCAAGAGAGCTTTGCACATCCAGACCCACCACAGCACAGCTCAGCCAGCCAGCAATCAGCTCTCATGCTCGCAGGTGTCTGTTGCAGGATATCTGCATAGTGTTAGCTTCACGGTTTATTAGCTTGGGAATATGCAGTTTGTCCTGATATGTTCTCTTTTATCTGTAGTTTTATTGTTCAGGTTCCTGTGCAACAACCTCCACAGCAATTCTGGAAGAAAAAGCAGCGTTGAAATAGTAAATGAAAAYGTGGGAAACTCACCTTTTTTGATGTGTATGGGAAATGGGTGAAGTCAGTATTGAATGCTAAGTGGATAAACTATACTTACTCCATTTGTACTGTACCACCGAGCGTGGTGTCACAGCGTGAGTGGAAGTGATGAAGGGACGGGATCTCCAGGGAGAGAAATGAAGAAAAGACTGGAAAAAAAACGTGGGGCTGGACGCCAAGTCTGCCCCAGCACCAGCACATCTTTGCGTAGCTCGCGGAGTGGTGTGAATAACATCTGCCACAGGGCTTAATCTCACACCCTCTCCCCAAGGGGAGACGTGTGTGCAGCGGAGTGTGCTGTTTTGCTGGGGGAGGAGGTGGTTGTTGATGGTAGATGTGGTGCGTGTGTTTGTCTAAGAGAGAGCCAAGAAGTGGGCTCTGCCTGAGCAGATGGGGGTGATGTGACTAGTGGCGGTGCCCAGATCCTGCGAAAACAYGGCCAGCATGGCAGGGAAGTTGGGACTCTTTCACACGCGACCTTCGTCTTTGTTCTAGGGACCGGTGTGCTGTTGGAGTTACTGCTGCAAACTCTGCTCTTCATCCCCGAGCTTTTTGGTGTCTCTTCAGAAAAGAGAGCCCAAGCCACAGATGACAAAATCTGGATAGAAACACAGAAATTGCTTCTATATTCTGCTGATATTTCCTAAATCCTGACAGTTTGATATCCAGGTACATAGCACTGTTGACAGGCAACGAAGGCAAAATACACCACATTGGGTTATCTGTAGCTAGGAATTGACAAAACTGAAATACTGCCAAGTATGGCTTAAAGAGACTGATAAACAGATGATAACCTGCAATGTGGACCCTAAGATGACATGGAAAACAAGGTTTGAATTTGATCAATTGTACATATGTGCCTTTACTTAACAGGGATTATTCCATGGCTGTGAACTCTTCCAAATGCTTTCCTTTGCTCTCACATATGTTTTTTGACTCTTGCTTGTTCCCACCAGGCCAATTGTTCTTCACACAGGAACTGTTCTTGCTCCAACCCTGGGYCATCTTGGTAGACGTGGTCTTGTGAAATGTGCCTTGTGCTCCTCAAAATGTGCCCCTTCTCCCCAAACCAGGGTCTGAGAAATTGTCTGCCCAGGACCACTGTCTTCCTGAGGCCCTCTCTGCCTGCGACAGACCCTCTGATTCCATCAGATGCTATTCCCAGCACTAGACTGTTTCTGTGGAGAAGGTACCACCCGCTTAGTTCAAGGCATGTTACAGAGCCTCTTACATGGCCTGAGCAGCTGGGCATGGACAGTTATACTCCATTCAGATCTATATGAGAAGTGGTGAATCCCATCAGGTCCTGCCTGCCTTGAAACTTCTTGCATGAAACTTCCCTGCTCCCAGGCCCTCTATGCCCTTTACCCATTCTCCTTGGAAAAAAAAAAAAAAAAGGTAAAATAAAGTCATTTGGGGGGCTCATATGACTTAAATGTGGTTATTTTTCAAGTTTTCTGCTTGTAATCAAAGGGGAATTTTGCTGTGTAACCATCKCCTATGAAATAGTGGCTGGGCATTTGGTTGTCATATGGCTGTGCTGTATAATTATAGAACATGTTATGGTTTGATGGATGAAGTCATTAAGAGCATAGTAATTAGTACCAGCCTGCTACTTTGAACTGCTGTGTGGTGTCACATATTCCTTACAGTGAATTACATCTGTGCACACACTGAATACAGCTTTCTAACCATCTGATGCCTCGGGCTTACATACTGTTATGCTGTATCCATCCAGAACATTTTTCATTCATTTTTAAAAATACACACACATCAAACCAGACAGCACCCTGTAGCTTCCTACGCCCTAGAAACTACACTTAAAAAAATATTTTTTTTTGAAAGGAAAGCTTTAAAAGGAGATATTAAAGGCCTGACATGACATTTGACATAGGCTTGGCACAAGAAATGGAGTGTTGTGGTGGAAAGGTAAAACACTCATCTGTCACTAAGGGTAGGACCCCAGGGCTGATGTGAGCCTGGTCTTATGCCTACTGACTCACCAGGGTGTGTGTGCAGAGCAGTGAACTGTCTGCAGCCTCCTGCCCTGGAGCTGAGTCTAGTGCCGGGACCTCATCGAGGGTCTATATGGACATCCCAACTGGATGACATAGATTTTCACCAGGAGTGCTGGATGAGCCCAGGAATACAGAGAGGAAGGGAAAAGCAGTCCTGCAATAGGGGGAAACTGATGGACCTCCTGGGTTTTCTTTGGTGAGCGTGTCATCGCTGTGGAGGGTTCCCTTGCAACCTGTCCCAAACAAGCACCCATTTCCTACCTCAAGCTTCTAGAGGTAATTTGAGAGTGTCTTACTCAAATTTGATTCCCTCCAATCTCTGACCTCTTGTAGATGACCTTAGAAA